CGCGATACTGGTGGTGTCACAAGTGAATGTAGCAGACGCCTGTTGTGCTGCAGCAGGTCGCTCGCCAGCTTGACAGGCCACCAAACCTTCAGCGGCCAGAAGTTGGGACGCCGCGACGTCGGGACTTCTACCACTGACCGCCAGAATCACGACATGACAACATGACACTTCGGATCCACCAATTGACTTTATAAATCTTTCTGCCTTTTATTTGATCCTATCTTCAGTGTAATCTTCATAATCGGATGGAGCTTCAGTCTTTATACGATGCGTAATTTATGCATCTGAGTTAAAAAAATCGCTTTCATTTCTTTTTACAGAGTGGTTTCTTTTCTTTCAAAGGTATATCGTGCAAATCAAGAACGCTTTTCCTGTAACTGAAATTTTATGCTTTCTATATTTCGTTTCATCATACGTCATAACGTGGACGAAGGCTTTAACACATATAAATTCACTAAAACAAGTTACTGTACTCGATTGGTTTAATGATAGAACAAGTACAGAAATACGATGAGCGCAGCCCCTCGATCGTGGGGCAGACCAGTTTTAACTTGTGAGTTTGCTTTCAGATAATATATGTCTTCCACTTTTCTCGTCCGAGAGCTAAGAAATAAGTGAGGCAATGCAGCCACAACAGCCACGCCACACTGCCCCCACCGCGCTAAAAATCAACTTTAATTTTAACTCAGTATGTTGAAGCTCGCTTTTGGCCGTCAACTTTATGAGCGCGTGCACGAATGCTTTTCACGCATATTGTACATCTATAAAGTAAAACAGTAAACTTGTAGCAAATTACCCTTCTTCTAAAAGTTATAGTGCCATTGAGCACGCCGATTGTTCCGCGGTACGAGCGTGACGTCACAGGGCCGTGCCCGTTGCCGTCGCAACCTATTACCTGTGTACCCATTTTTTTCGAGCCGTCAGTTCTGTTTTCCCTGTAGGGCCCAAAAGCAAGACTTTGAAAACAGGTAGCTACCAACCATATACATGATACTGAGTAAATTACAATTATTTTCTCATTATTAGATATGAAAAATCGCTTTGAGATTCATTCATTTTAATATGAATTGACATCTCTCATAAGTGTACAACATCATTAAAGCAGTGTTATATTGACCTTCCGTCTCGCAGGTTGGCCTTATTGTGGCTATCATCATCATCATGCTCCTGGTAACAGTCATCGTGGCGACAGTGGTCGTCTATCGCCGCCAAGGTGCAGTATACTACACGCACGAAGACGACCGCAGAATGTCGACCACCGACGTGAAAAGACCCTCAATCGTGATCCAACCAATGGATGACGTCAAGGAGTGCTCCAAGATCCCCTGCTGAGCGAACTCCAGGGTCCTCAATTAATTGTCATCCCTCATCGATGCCATCACAAGGCGACGTCGGCCTGACATGCCGTCTTCTTTTTTTTTTTTCACAAAACATACGCAACGATGAAGGACTGCCGGATGTCTGAGTTGGTGGTGTTTTTTCCTTTTCATCTCTCCAACGCTGGTCTGGACCAATACCATTCTGAATATCTAAATGCCAATCACTGATACGTACTATCTATGGGAGTATTCATGTCTCGCTATTTTTGGTACAGGCTAAACGTTCGTCACTTAAACGTCCCAGTGTCTCCGCCGGAGCTAAGCAGTCTTAAGTAAACTCACGTTTACAAACAATGATGTAAATTTCTGTTGGCCTGTATTTAGTGTGTACGCCATAGCATGGATACACGCATGCCTGGAACTCCAGTCTTTGACGTCACGCCACTGCCGTGGTGGGGCTTTGGACACGGCGCACGTGCAGACGCTTCCTCTCGCGCAAACGTGTTTTCTGCGCATGCGCAATCTACACACCTGGTGTGGGCAAACCCAGGTTTGCACGTAAACAGCGTGCTTGTGCATAAGGACATAAGTGAGATGTTTTTTTTGTTTTTTTTTTGCATTCAAAGACCGAACCACTATGTTCAAAAACACCACTTTCGCACGAAAGAAGCGTTCATCATGTTGTGGAAATGGAGAGAGGTCGTTTAAAATAATAAATCGATCACTTTTACAATTAGATTTTTTTTCCGTCTTTCTAGATAATATATATTTCTCGGAAGGCTGTGGACAAGACCCCAATTGTTTTAATCATATACGGGAAAGGAGCGCGCATTAAATGCAACTTGACTCCGTTCTTCGATGTTTTGTCGAAGCCGTTTTGCGGATCCCTTTGATTTTAGAAAAAAATGTATGGATGTAAATTAAGCTGTAGCTCCGGAGCAGTGAATAGAAAGCGCCTCGGCCGTTTTTTTTTTTTTTTTCGTTTTTTTTTTTTGCTAGAAAGGTGGTCGAAAAGAATAGCTTTGTGCAGGCCCTGTCACCAAACGTTTGGGTACGAGAGTTGCGTTAAAGTTCGGGAGGACATTTTGACTTTTGAGCTCGAGATCGGGTCCAATGACAGCGGCCATGAACCGCCTGAAAGTTGCGAAAATTGCGAAAAAAATTGCATTAACTATCAAAACACACTCCATTGCCCGGTCGGTATGCACCGATAGACGACCGAAAAAAAGGCCTCAAATAAAAATGAAATATTCAACAGTTTTTTTTTTAAATACTTTACTTGTAACATGCAATGCACATAGGGCTTCGCAGCTTGTAGACGGGCAAAATTTATTAAGTACATAATACAAACTTTATGTGTACGAGATTGTAGTACCTGGGTCATTACTATAGCCACGAACAGAACGAGAACGACTAGGAGTGTTTCGAACGCCTCGCCTCCAGTGCGCGCCGGATGCCTCCCGTCGTGCTTTAGCTGCACACACACACGCTCGAGGAGCACGAGACTCTGAAGCATTGTCGAAGGCAGGAAGTTCACGCTAGAGGCGGGACAACTAGAGCTCGTCCATACCCTTGAAAAATGCCATATCTACTTCATTCACTTGAAGTGTACGCTGGATGGGATTCCTACACACCAACTCATCGAGTTTCCCAAGTTTAGTTAAGTTGTTTGTCTAGCGCTATGCCCTTTGGATTTTAGAAATATAGGGTTATAAAACTGCGTCAATCTGATGGAGACTACGCTACCGCTATCCTCGGGATACATTATCATAAAATAGGAATGCCGCTTTCTGCCTTTAAATTTACTGAGCAATGACAATGCATATCATTCTATGTTTGCCACGTTAACATTTATTTAATAGATGTTTTCTAACAGACGGTCTCTATAAAGTACTACGTGTCAGCCATAAGGGCTTGTTATAGGCAATTGCCTTGCTGATAGGCACTTGCCCATCCGCCGTCTGCTCTGATGGGCCCTGATTAAAAGTATGCAGAGCTCGTGGCGGAGCGTTGCGAATGTTAGCATTTCCTGAATGTTCCGAGCTGAAACTGTTTCTCATTTTTCTAAAGTGATGAACCACCTACAGGTGGTGCACCACCGTGGTGCGGACTCATTTGCTAACTTCTGAACAGTGTTCCATAACTTTAGCTTAAAGAAGAAAATCTGGGAATTATGCGCTTTTTTCTCCTACAATTTTGATACGAATCACAATCGAGAGGGCATCAATGTTTAGCAGCAACTGATACAATGTGAATGTCTCAATGAATGCCAAGAATGCAGTGATGTCTCGTTAGTATAGACACCTTCGCTCCCCCCAAAAACGTCCATAACGTGAATTTTCCTGAAAACAAGAGAGAAGGGATGTATTTCTCAAGTTCGTCCCAGAAATTATTGTCTACCTAGCAGGGTACCTATTTATAGGGGGTCCATATTAACAAGACATCGCAGTATGAACACGCTAATATGACCCTTGAAATGTTAAAATTCACCATAATAGAAATATATTTTTTTTCTGTTCTGTACAGTGTCCTAAAGAGTAATTTAGAATTATAGACCACTTATAGCATAGACAAAGTAAAGTTTGCTTGTACATAATGAAAGTATATATGTATTTAGTTTTTTGTTCAGCTGAAAACAATTTATGTGTGGCATGTGTTACATGACATGGTCAATCAGGAACAATATAATATTGTTTCCAAACAAAGTGTGTGGCTTGCCAATAAATATTTGTCACAAACCTGAACATTTGGTGTCGCTTCTAATTAGGGGTTCCTCTATTTTTAAATATTTTCCCGATTTCTATGCGCGTAGAAAATATCCATGTAGAATATTTCGCGGCACTAATCATAGATTACAGAAGTAAAGGTTCAGCCTAGTTCTGGCATCTTTTTTGTTTCTTTAGTCACTAGTGAACGGTTTCGCAGTTTTGAACAGTTATATTTACTATCGCGATTGAAATTACCCAGAAACACCCCACCCGGCCTTTTTCTGCACCTGCACTAGGTACCGCGACCTACAGAGGTTTAGAATAGAGGGCACCAAAGCTTGGAAACCCCTAAGAAAGAGGGGCTCCCCACTGTTCTAGGCCGCTGGACGAAGCGACAGAACGCCACATCTTTCCCTTCTAGCCAACTGTAACTTCATGGGTAAGTAGGTTCAGGGTGATTAACGTACTAACAATTTGACTGGCACTTTTGTCCCGGTCAGGTTGCCAGTATGTTGATCATCCTGGACCTTCTCAGCTTTCCAGTTGCCACGCCACCCAAGCTCAGCATTCAAGGCGGAATCGTCACTGTGAAAATGCTGTCATTTAAGGAGTTGTCTGAGCGCGTGAACATATGAAAGTTTGTTCATGACAAATTCGGCACGTAGAGTGGGTTGGTAGCAGTTAAGAGGCACACTCATGGCCATTTTGCAAGGAGCGGAGGCGGCGTGACGTGGCGCATATCTTGGAGGAAAATCACGCCACGTGCAAGTTGTCGCGGATGTTTCTCGGCAATGACGGTCCAGAATTTCTGCACGACTATGCTACAAACTGGCGAAATACAATTGTTCAATATCATGTTCCTTCTGTCATGAGACTGGTGAAATATCATTATCTAATTCTGCGGGCTTATTCTCATGCAGGTTCACTGCTTCTCAAACATTCCTTGGGTATGAAAATTTCGGAATCAACTCTATTTCAGAGGCTTAATTATACAATTTTATTTGTAAAGTAACTCGATGATTCACGCTGCCAGGAACCTCCGTAGAATTTGTTAACGGGCGTTCATCAGGCGGCAGTGTAGTCGTGCTCGCTGCCGGTGTCGTGTGGGTTTCTTGGGAATGGCAGCAAGGCCTCCGGGAAGGGCTCATACCTGCGTATCAGAAGGAAATTCCGCCAATTCCTTCTGGTGGTCCCATTGTAAACCAAAATTTCGCTACTATAGGGGGGCCAAAGTGTTTCGTACGCTGTAAAACTAACCCATAAAATCGGCAACTGAACATAGAAGGTTCAAAGTTTGACCGAATATGCATATAGGGGATGGATATTACCTTAATCGCAAAACGTAATTCTCGTAAAAAAGCAAGATTAACAAATTTGCTAAAGTGAACGGCGAACGTGTTTACAGACGACCGAGTTAGCGATAATTGTAACTTCAGGCGCCATTTCCCGAACATGTCCGCCGATGAGTTTAACAAGACTGTTTATCATTTTGTTTTTCAGAAAAAGAACTACTTGAAATTTCATAAGGTAAAATCAAACCCCTAAACCCACATTCTGTGGAACTTTGAGATCTCAATGCACAGGTACCAATTTTGTTCCAATTCGTTTTACAATATAAGAAGCACTCTGCCACTCATCCATCGGTCAACACCACAAATCGGCATCATTGAATTGCTGATTGGAAGACATTTGGTTAGGCCAGGCTGCAGACACAAAACTAGTCAGAATGTTACGTTCAATTTCTATGGTTACACCGTTACATCATCGCTAGTGTCCCGCAGTTCATGCGCCATTTAGTGTCAGAAATCGCAGTGTTCTGACTTAGATACCGCACTAGTTGCGTTAATTAAGCTTAAGGCGGCAGCGAGCAAAACTCGTGTTATCAGCTATCCCCCGCTAAAAGCCCATCCGGGAAACAGATGTAACGTGTAATCATTATTATGAGAATTATTTCAATTATTTGCAATACATTAAAGAGTTAACTCAAGTGGTATAGTAACATATTAAACCAGTCAACTGGACGTGCTCACTCATAGCTAGGAGTATCCGATAGCTTTTCATAAGTACACATAGCCTCTTGGAACTTTCACATAAAGCAATTACATGCATTTCTTCCATTACGAATGATTTCTTGTGGATGAACAGTTGCGGTGACAGCCTGAGTTATTCCCCAGTGATTATTTAGTCAGAATCAAACAAAGAATATAGACGTGAGGCATTAATCAAGACCATGTTCGTAAAATAAGGATGGCTTTAATCGATATTTTAGAGGATTCTAAGAGAAACCGGCTAAAAACTAAATACTTTCTTTTAAATGGACGTTTCAGTATCGGAAGCATGCGACAAGACAGTGGCGTCACTGTCCGGCTCCTAGCAGAAGCATTTCGCATAGACTCCGCGTACTGCACTCAGTTTCTAATTAATGTCAGCTTGCCCGAGCTCAGCTCTATACAAAACGTCCGATGCCACAGTCGGCGCCAACTTATTTTCACACAATACCCGGACATTGAGCACATATCCCCTTTACGCGCTGGTGAAAACCGCCGCGATCTCTTCAATCCCAGTACATCTACTCAATCCGCGCCAGCGAGCGAAGAGCTGTCTCGCAATTAGAGGAGGGAAAAATACTTATTATTTATATTTCATCCCTTGCCGGTGAATGTTGTCTCGTAATGCCACACGCGCCCTATGCGTTCAGAAACTGAGGGAGAGGAGTATAGACGAGAGCGCGCGAGGACGCTGGAACGCCGAGCCCTGGTTGGAGTGATTAGGGGGTAAACGGAAAGCTAGCCACCTTCGTCTCTCCTGCACTCGTCGAACGCGTTCGAACGCGGAATGCTGGCGTTCGAAGTTTGACTTTCACAGTTTAACGTGTTCGACGGCTGCAGTGGAGTCAAAGGCAGCACCAGGCAGCACAGACACGTTGAAATTACGTCGAAAGAACGTCGATGACGTAAGGAACCACATGTCAAAAGAACGTCGAAAGTCTGAACGTCGGGTTACTTTGACGCAGTATGGAAAGGTCTAGAAAAAGGCGTAGATTTTACGTCGACATAACGTCCCACTTAACGACCTTAGAACGTCGAGTGCACGTCTGAATAGAATGAGAAGTCAAATGATAACGTTATATCAACATTGGCACAATGTCCCATTTAACGACCATAAAAGATCGAGTATACGTCTAAACTAAACGGGATACCGATTAAGAACGTCATATTAATGATATCATAACGTCCCATTGAAACGACATAAAATCTCGAGCGCACCTCTCTGATAACGTTATGTCAACATTGAAATAACGTCCCATTTAACGGTCATAAAACGTCGAGCGTACATCGAGCCTGAACGGGATGTCAATTGATAACGATCTCGGCCTAGGTCACCGTGTAACAATGAAGTCAATCGTATCTGGCTTCGTTGCTCGAAGGTATGTTCACGAAAGCATGTATATTCGGACGGAATATACTATTTGCTAAATCCCTCAAGCACCCCGGTCCGCACTCCAAGAGTCATGGGAACGGTGTTTCTTCACCTTCCTAATGATCGGCGATTTCGACCAATTCCGTGGTTACACAATTTTGGGTGTATTTCTGAGTCACCCTTAGTCCTTAGTGCCCAAGGACCTGTCGTATCACTTTTAACATTCCTCGTCAATGACAAAGTTTTCGATACTGTGCATGCTGTCCACCCTTCAACCTAGCTCAGCTGCAGAAATATTTTACATCATTATCATTCTCTTACAGCTTCAAAGACGCTGATGTTAAGTTAGAAACTATAAAAATGCTATAAACAGCCCCGCTGACTCCGAGCTAAATCCTGTTTTTTGTTGTGAATTTTCGAATTTTTAAGCAATTCCTGCTAAAACAGCAGTCACGAGAATTGATAATATTGTAAAAGATTTCTGCAGCTCAGGCCAGGTTGAAAGGTGGATCGCATCCGCAGCATCAAAAATGCTGACATTGACGAGAAATTTTAAAAGTAATATGACAGCACCTTTGGCTCTATAAGGAGCTTGTTCAGGGTGATCAAGATGTTAGCTCAGACATTGTTGGGACGTCTCGCGCTCAAAGTTCAAAGAACCTAAAAAAACGTATAACTGACGTCGAATAATGCCGATGACGTCAAGGTGTTGCTCAGGACGTTGTTGGGATGTCTCGTGCTCGACATTCAAAGAACTTCCCGGAGAAAACGTAGAACTGACGCATATTAATGCCAATAACGTCAAGGGGTCGCTCAGACATTGTTGGGACGTCTCGCGCTCAACGTTCGAAGAACCTCCCAAAAAAAACGTAGAACTGACGTCGAATGATGACGATGACGTCAAGGTGTTGCTCAGGAGATTGTTTGGACGTCTCTTGCTCGACGTTCGAATAACTTTCCGGAGAAAACGCACACCTCACATCGAATAATGTCGAAGATGTCAAGGTGTTGCTCAGGACATTGTTGGGACGTCTCGTGCTCGACGCTCAAAGAACTTCCCAGGGAAAACGTCGAACTGACGTCTAATAATGCCAATGACGTCAAGGTGTTGCTCAGACATAGTTGGGATGTCTAGCGCTCAACGTTCGAAGAACCTCCCGAAAAAACGTAGAACTGACGTCGAAAATGTCGATGACGTCAAGGTTTTGCTCAGGACATTGTTGGGACGTCTCGTGGTTGCTCGACGTTCAAAGAATTTCCCGGAGAAAACGTAAAGTTGACGTCTATTAATGTCAATGACGTCAAGGTGTTGCTCAGGCATTGTTGGGACGTCTAGCGCTCAACGTTTGAAGAACCTCCCGAAAAAACGTAGAACTGACGTCGAATAATGTCGACGATGTCAAGGTGTTGCTCAGGACATCGTTGGGACGTCTCGTGCTCGACGTTCAAAGAACTTCCGTTAGAAAACGTAGAACTGACGTCTATTAATGACAAGGACGTCCAGGTGTTGCTCAGGCATTGTTGGGACGTCTAGCGCTCAGCGTTCGAAGAACCTCCCAAAAAAACGTAGAACTGACGTCGAGTAATGTCGATGGCGTCAAGGTGTTGCTCAGGACATTGTTGGGACGTCTCGTGCTCGACGTTCAAAGAACTTGCCGGAGAAAACGTAGAACTGACGTCTATTAATGCCAATGACGTCAAGGTGTTGCTCAGGCATTGTTGGGACGTCTCGCGCTCAACGTTCGAAGAAACTCCCGATAAAACGTAGAACTAATGTCAAATAATGTCGATGACGTCAAGGCGTTGCTCAAGACATTGTTGGGACGTCTCTTGCTTGACGTTCGAATAACTTCCTGGCGAAAACGTTGAGCTAACGTCGAATAATGTCGAAGACGTCAAGGTGTTGCTCGGGACATTGTTATGCCGTCTCGTGCTCGACGTTCAAAGAACTTCTCATACAAGACGTCGAACAGGCATTGATTACTGTTGAAACGTCGAGGTGAAGCTTATGACGTTGTCACTACGTCGCGTGTTTGACTTTGTCGGAACCTCTCATGGGGGCGTATAGTCAGCACGGAATGAAACCCGAACGCCGGATTGTGTGGCCATCGACACAGGGTGTCCCACCTGGAGGGCTCCTGGGAACCAATGAAAATGCGCCGGAATGCGAGGGTGCGGGTCCTACTAAGATGTGCTCGACCCTCCCGCGGCGCTTCTGGGACTTTCGCGTTTCGCCGGTGGTGCGCTGTAAGCGCCGTCACTCGGGGTGGTTTTGTGCCGCCGCACTGTCACACGGTCGACCGCTTAACGTGGCTATAGCCCTCTGGGATAGGCCCTGCTCAGACAGCGTGATGAATTTCTTCCTCTTCGGAACTGATACGCCTGGCTTATCGGTGGTTACCAAAGAGAGCGTCAGCGAGAAATTCCTCCCTTTTTATAAGAATCGACTGATAACCTCGCGCGAAAAAAAATAAAAGCCGTTTACATTTCCCTGCAACACCGAATTAGAGCGCAGCTCTTGAGGAGGAGGAGGGAAGGGTACTGAAAGTCACCTGTTCTCGGGGCAGGGGGGGGGGGGGGTGTCGCGTGACCTCGGGGAGGGGGGGGTCATGTGACCTTGGGGGGTCATGTGACCCCCCAGAAAAATTTTTCCGCTAGATTTAGCGGGGAATTTTTTCCGCTAGATTTAGCGGGGAAATTTTTCCGCTAGGTTTAACGGGAAAAATTTTCCGCTAGACAGCGGGGAATTTTTTCCGCTAAATCTAGCGGGGAAATTTTTCCGCTAGATTTGGCAGGGAATTTTTTCCGCTAGATTTGGCGGGGAATTTTTTCCGCTAGATTTAGCGGGAGAATTTTGCCGCTAGATTTAGCGGGAGAATTTTTCCGCTAGATTTAGCGGGGAAATTTTTCCGCTAGATTTAGCGCGGAAATTTTTCCTCTAGACTTAGCGGGGAAATTTTTCCGCTACATTTAGCGGGGAAATTTTTCCGCTAGATTTAGTGCGGAAGTTTTTCCGCTAGATTTAGCGGAGAAATTTTTCCGCTAGATCTAGCGGGGAAATTTTTCTGCTAGATTAAGCGGGGAAATTTTCCCGCTAGATTTAGCGGGGAAATTTACCCATAATGCATCGCGCGGTTACGCTAACGCCGGCGTAGGCGTCGACGCCGACGCCTACGCCGGCGCCGACGCCGACACCGACGGCGACGGCGACGCCGCTCAAGCCGGAAACGGGCGCCTAAGAGCTGCGCTCTAAAACAGCGGCCTCCGCGTCGGTCCGTTGTACCATTTTTTTTATAAACAGAATTGTTGTGTTAATAAACGAATTTTATTTTGTGTCTATGACGTTTCACTTTTTCTCAGAAACCGCGTGTGCCACGTTGTTCGCCGGAGCCTCAGGGTGGTTCCGGTGACACGTCATCAAGCACTGTGGGTCTTCTGTGGATACACAGAAGACCCACAGTGCTTGCGATACACAGTGCTTACGATACACAAAGCGATAATTAATGGCAGCGCTGTAGAGATGCCGCTGGACATCCGATACCCAAAGCGATAAATAATCGGTGCGCTGGACAGATCGGACCAGAATCTGCACAGAGTGACGTACTTTCAAGGCTCAAGTCACTACAATTTAGGAAAATTTTTGCTGAGTGGGCGAGTTAGTAGACCTGCATTATGGCATTCGCAGCGAGGCATACGAGCCTGAAGAACAAAAGAGATTGTTGGATGAGCTCTGCGAGTGAACGTATGGATGTGCTCATATATTATATACCAAATATTTGTAGTAGCAACCTTCAGTTGGGTGTCAGCACTCGTCGTATTGGGCAGAAGATCAAACTATAGGGGGCGCTTTATCGATGTTGTTGTCCCCACAGCCCGGTGTTTACTAACACAGCATAACAAAGAAATTGAACCTCGTCATGCACAGCCTGGGCACGAGCGCTTCGCTCTGACCAGTGCTTTGGTCGCACGAGGAGCGGCCTTCGAATCGTCATCTTCGATATCGCTGATCAAAAACAAACAAGAAAATTTAGTTTGTTGTCCCCACAGCTGAAGCGTGCCGCTAGGGGCGTGGCTGTTCGATCTCCCCCCCAATAGTTCCAACTTGGTCTTGTGTCTCGCGCTGTTTTGCTATAGTTACTGCTAATTATAAAATTACGATACGTATAACAAACAATAAAAACTGCGCACGCCAAGAGAAGACATCGTGCTTCCCTGGCGCGCGCGGAAGCAGCTTGATGCTGCTTTTAGAATCGACCTTCTCGCGCCGCGCACAAGCCGCAGGCGTCGACCGGGCGACAGTGAGGTATCACAAAAGCAAACACGAGTGATGGCTCTTACAACGCGCCACCGGCGAAACGCGGAAGTCTCAGACGCGCCGCGCGAGGGTCGAGCACATCTTAGTAGGGCGGACACCCTGGCACCCTGGCGCATTTTTATTAGTTCTCAGGGGCCCGCCCGGTGGAGCAGCCTGTGCCGATGGCCACGCGTTCCAACGTTCGGGTTTCATTCCGTGCTGACTGTACCAATGACGTCGATAAAAAGTTTGTTAAGGACCTCGACGACGCCGAACGTCTAGGACTTTATTTCGACGTCATCTCGACGTAATGTGCTACCAGGGTAGCTTAAAGTCTAGCCACTAATTATTCCAACCAGAGCTAGGGGTTCTGACGTCCCGCGCTTTCTCCCTCAGTTTCTCGACACATAGGGCGGTTCCACGAAACGCCTTTCTTACTTCCGGTATGCAGCGTTTTACTGTATTCACAAACTGTGTCCGCCTCTTCTTTCAATAGTTTGCATGCAGACAACTAGTTTTGGCGCCTTTGTTTTGGCGTCTGGCGTTTGTGAAACGCACAAACGTGACGAGGGGATCCGTCGATGACAGATCTCAATAAGCACGACCAGGGATTAATTTGGGCCGCATGCACCCATGCTTACTCAGCTTTTTCTTCCGGAGTCACCATCTAAACGAAAACGGCACGGAAGAGCTTCGGTTGTCCCACCTCGAGCGCGAGCTTCCTACGTTCGACAGTGCTTCCCCGTCTCGTGCATCTCGCGCGCGCTCGCACAGCCAAACCACGGCGGAAAGCATGAAGCGCGTGCTGGAGACCGAACGTGGTCCCAAGACACGCCCTTCCGTTCTCATTCTGTCAGTGTCTATGCGGAAAGCAAGTCGTCTGCTTCTTGCTCACGAGTGGCGGTGATGTCAGAACGACGCCGAGCTCTTACTGGTTGATTGAAAAAAATAGAGGGTGGACCTCAATGCTCGATGCCTTGAGGTCTACCCACTATTTTTTTTTTCAATCAGCCAATAAGAGCTCGGCGTTGTTGTGACGTCACCGCCACTCCTCAGCAAGAAGCAGACGACTTGCTCTCCGCATAGACGCTTTGCGGCAGCCCTGCATAGGCGCCAGCATGACCGACCTTCTGCTTCTGTTCATTTTAGAGCGCAGCTCTTAGGCGCCCGTTTCCGGCTTGAGCGGCGTCGGCGTCGCCGTCGGCGTAACCGCGCGGTGTATTATGGGAAAATTTCCCCGCTAAATCTAGCGGAAAAATTTCCCCGCTAAATCTAGCAGAAAAATTTCCCCGCTAAATCTAGCCGAAAAATTTCCCCGCTAAATCTAGCGGAAAAATTTCCCCGCTAAATCTAGCGGAATAATTCCCCGCTAAATCTAGCGGAAAAATTTTCCCGCTAAATCTAGCGGAATAATTTCCCCGCTAAATCGAGCGGAAAAATTTCCCCGCTAAATCTAGCGGAAAAATGTCCCCACTAAATCTAGCGGAAAAACGTCCCCGCTAAATATAGCGGAATAATTTCCCCGCTAAATCTAGCGGAAAAATTTCTCTTGAGGTCAGGTGACCCCCGAGGTCACGTGACACCCCCAGGTCACGTGACCCCCACGTGACCTTGGCGAGGGGGTCATGTGACCCCTCCAAGGGCACGTGACCACCCCTCCCCCCTGATAACACGTGAACCTCAGTACCCTTCCCTCCTCCTCCTCAAGAGCGGTGCTCTAATTCGGCGTTACAGGGAGTTGTAAACGGCTTTCATTTTTGTTTTATTTCGTTCGTTTCATCTACACCGCAGCAGGACAGGTTACTGCCATTTTAGAGTCTACTGTGTCCTTCTCCCCAGCATATGTCTTTGTGGGTCTCGTTAACGCTCTCCTCAGTGGCTCGGCACCCCGGTAAGACAAGAGAAGATCAGCAATGTCGGGTGTAATCTAAAGCGTCTGTAAATGTTATTTCGTTGTGTTTAGCGACAAAAAACTGCCGATTTCGTGAAGACGTCACTGAAACGACCACAACTCTCTTCCAAGCCTCATTGTAGGGCTTTTGGCACTCATTTCCCGCTCAACTCTGAAATTGGGCGAAAAAAGCGAAAAAGCTGATTGATACAAATATCTGAAAGAGGATAACCTTTTCGCAAATTATCTAAATTGGCATGGCTTCTAATAGCTATTGCCGCCAAAACTTCAATTGCTACATAACACGAATAACCAATAATTTAGAAGCTAAGAAACAAGGCTTGGCTAATGAAGGTACTTATAATAACGGTTATATTCTCATTTTATGTCCGCCGAGCCTGGTGAATTCACAGTAATAACGGCACCCGTGTAACTCTCACCCTATTCTTTTTTTTTTATCTTAAGTACAAGTACCATGCCACATACACGAAACGTCAAAAAACCCCGACACAGAAGAAGATGGCAGAGGAAAATCTGTGCGGACAGAGCTGCCAGGCCCCCAAGAAGTTTCCGGCGTTTTGTACGAACTTCTTTTACAGGATCTTTTTACAGGATTTTAGATTCTGTAAAAGAAGTTTGTACAAAATTGAGATTAGACAAAATTCGATAATGCCACAGAAGAAATACCCACCCTGCCTCCCACGTTGAGCCACAATCTCTCGCGACGCCTTCCATAGGCGCCTCTACCGTGCAACTTGCGGCAGAATACTGAAAATATAATGAACGAGCATATTGGAGTAAATAATTCGTTAAAGCTGAAATATAAGAGCCCACAATGCATTAAGCATAGTCTAATCATACCTAAGAGGAACAACGAAACTATGTTATTAAGCCGGAATCTCACTGCTTATACATCACACAGAAAAACAGTCTGCAGACACGAGTCACCGCAATATCTGTGGTTCGAATGCCGCGTGTCCAGGTTTTCCCTTGAACTCATTGCCATGCGGCATTCGAAGCACGGATCTCGCGTTCTAATCTGTTTGCAGACTGTATTTTTGTATGATGTATAAGCAGTGTGACCCCGCTTTACGCTCTCAAATGTTTTAACATTCTGATGTCTCGCACTACACTACAAGGAAGCATTAACAGCTTGCGACAAGACAGTGGCACCACGGTGCAGCTCCTAGAAGAGGCATTTCGCATAGACATTCTGTATAGGAGCTAACCTTTCTAATCAACGTCAGCTTCCCTGAGCACAACGCTGTACAAAACGTTCGGGGTCACATTGGGCGCCAATATTTTTACACCAGACCTGATAATTTAATGAAAAACAAAACAAAAACAGATACCCTTCATGCGTTGGTGAATACCGCTGCGATGACCTCAATCTCCGTACGTCTACTGGATCCGGCAGCAGGCGAGGAGCAATCTGATAATAAGAGTAGCCAAAAGTGCTTCTCACGTAGATTTCATCCTGGCACTTGTGTAAGTCGTCCCGTAGGGATTCCCGAACCGTCCAACACACAAGCCCTTCCCAAGGAGTATGCCAGCGTAGATTAACGAAACAAATGGCGGTGTATTGCCGTCAGTGTCACTTACAACTGCGTGGGACACGATCAAAGCCGAGATTGAGCAACTTCTGCGGGACGAATGACCAGAGAACGGGTACAGCGCAGCGCTAGACACGTATAGGTTTTCGAATGTCGATGCGCCAATCCTTTACTCCGGAAAGCGATCAAGAACTACGGCAGCGAAAAGCGTTGGTGCACGGCCAAGTCGCTGTCGGCGCGTTAGAAGAGGTCGGAGCGGGCAGGGCTTCCCTTTGTGACGTAGCGCGGACGCTGTGGTTAGACGCGTTGCCGTATGCTTGTGTCAGGTTATCCGTTGGGTTTTCGGGAGTTCGTAGATGATCGTAAGTTTAAGGCGTAGACCGGGGTTGAATTAAAATTAACAAGACGTTTATTAACTGGGATTACAATCGGTTACACAAGGTTACATTATGTCGGAGGGAAGAGCGGTCGTCCCGTCCGTATCGTACGGCGTCCCGGAGTCGTCTCTGTTGCGAAGGGGCTTCTCCTCAGTGAGACGTAACCCGACGCTTTGCTCCTCTCGCCTCGGAATCCCGCCCGGGTCACGTAAACCGGGGGGCCCGATTCTGGGGCTCCACGGAGGTGCAATGGGAAAGCCCGGGCTGGACGAAATTTTTGGTCGACTGTCTGGGTCTCTGTCTGGCACGCAAGGTGGCTCTCCGGGCGGAAGGCGCTTGACGCTGACACGCCCTCCTTTAAATATGATTTGTCCTCAAATCACTCCAACGCGTAATCCGCAAGGTAGGCCGGAGGTCTGCGCGTCCTTGACAGTTGGTGACCTGCAGCGTCATCCTCGACGTTGATGAGTGCTCCGTAGTTTTCTTTATCACGCGTTGGGGCTTCGGATCCGTCCTCGTCTTCACGTTCATTGCTTTCATCTGCGCCGGAGAGCGCTCGGCCGACGCAGGTGTCGGATAACTCCGGTGCCACTGGTGTGCGTGTATTGTGTCGGCGGAGTTGCTCGACGTTTGCCTTTCTTTCGTTTTGTCGTCCTTTTATGGAATGCAGCCTTTTGATGACCACGGTGTTTGGGGTTGGAAAGAACTTGATCTCGAACGGGCCCTCGAAGAACGGGTCCATCGTGCTTGACCTCGCTCCGATGCTGCAGTAAACGGAGTCGCCGATTTTAAATCTCGGGGTCTTGCTCCTTGCGTCATACCGGCTTTTGGCCGAAGCTTGAGAGTTTTCCAAGTTGTTTCTCGCGTCGTGCCGCTGTCTCGCCAACCTGTGGAGTCTAGTCGTCTCGTCTAGGTCAGCCTCAACTGTTCCGATGTTGAGCTGTCCGGGAAGTTTCGGGACGTAACCGTGCATGAGTTCGAAGGGGCTGAAGCGTGACGAACTCTGTCGCGAAACGTTGACAGAGAAAACTGCCTCGGGTAGAACCTTCTCCCAATTCTTGTGAGGTTCGATGAGTTTTCGAATTATATTCTTCAGCGTCCCTACCATCCGTTCGACAAGACCGTTGGCCTGAGGCCAGTAGGGTGGTGAGGTCACGTGCGTGATTCCAAGTCGTCTGTACAGAGCAGCAGTCTGTTTGTTGACGAAGCTTTTAGCCTGGTCGGTGACGATTGTCGTGGGCACGCCAAATCTCGGAATCCAACGATTCAAGAGGTAGTCGACGTAGAAGTGTGCTGCTGTAGAGGGCACGGCGACAGCGTCAATGTAGCGAGTCGCGTGATCGATGCAAACGAGGACATACTTTTGACCGTTGCTTTCTTCCAGTGGTCCGAAATGGTCAAGAGAGACTGTCATGTTCGGAGAGTCCGGGACTGCGCGAGGTTGCAGAGCGCCTTCTCGAGTTGTGGTTCGTTGGTTCACGCGTTGGCACGTGTTGCACGATCGAACGTACTCCCGAATGTCTCGCGACATCTGAGGCCACCAGTAGTTCCTCTTGATTTGTTCCGTCGTTCGCTCCACGTCCATGTGTCCAGTCGAGTCATGACATATGTTCATAACAGAATCTCGAAGTGTGGCTGGCACAACGATTCTCTTGAACTTTTCGTCCATTTTTAGTAAGATCCCATTCGACCGTCCGTAGTCGTTTCTGGGCTGTGACGATAGTCGTTGGCATAGCGGGTCGATCTGTTGCTGTTCCCGTAGGCGACTGTTCGAGCTCACTTGCGCATTCAAGCAGATGGGGGAGGGGTTGGTCGCTCCGGCGAAAGTGAGAACAGTCTGGGAGTCTTCCGGGTCGTACTGACGGGAGAGGGCGTCCGCCTTGTTTGATTTACTCGGCCGGTGTACAATTTCGAACTCGTAGTCCGAAAGGTCGAGGATCCATCGTGCAAATCTTCGGTTGGTCAGGCCGTTCTTAACAAGGTATGTGAGGCACATGCTGTCCGTAATGACTGCAAATCGTGGGCCTCCGCGCAAGTATATTGCGAACTTTTCCGCGATGGCCCAGTGTAGCGCCATGCACTCGAGAACGTTAATGTGCAAGGTGCTGTCGTGCGCGTTCAAAGATCTGCTTGCGTATTCGATTACCTTGTCGCACAAGTCGTGTCTCTGCGTCAGGATCGCTCCAAAGCCCGTTTGGCTCGCGTCCACGTGAACCGTGCTGGGGCACTCACTCCGGAAGGTGGCCAGAACCGGCGGAGTCTTCAGACAATGCTTCAGGTCGTCAGCGATCCTTTGATGTTCGTCAGACCACTCGAAGCTCGCGTCCCTCAGCAGTAGCTTACGCAGCGGTGATGATCGTGTTGCGAAGTCCGGGATGAACTTTCGGAAGTGGTTTAGGAACTGTAGGAATGAGTAAAGATGTTTTGCATCCCTCTCGGGCTGAAACTTGTCGACTGCAGAAACACGCTGAGGATCGGGTGTTCTGCCTTCCGCCGTGATCACATTCCCGAGAAATTGAACGCTGGTTCGTACGAACTGGCACTTCGCGATGTCCATCCGGAGTCCGTTCACAACGATGCGTCGTAGGGCTTCGTCTAGAAGTTCCAGAGCCTCAGCTACGGTTTTTGCGCCTTGGCCAACGTCATCCATGTACGTTGCTGTTCGGGGAAGTCCGTCGAAAGTTCTTCGCATGACCATTTGCATAGTTTGGGGCGCTTTACAGAACCCGAAGGCCATGCGGAGATACTCGTACTTGCCATCTGGAGTGACAAAGGCTGTCTTGTGAACATCTTCCGGCTTCACTCGGATGGTGAGAAATGCTGTCTTGACGTCCATAACAGTAAAGTAACGGGAGCCGTCCCTCATTACATCGTCGAGTGCGTCGTCCATTCGAGGCATGGGGTACGGCGGGTTGACTGTTTTGGCGTTCAATTTTCGGTAGTCGTGAACCATTCGTCTGGGAGTCGAGGGATGGTTCGGCTGGTTTACCACAAGCGTCGGTGCAGCATATTCGCTTTGGCTTTCGCGAACAACACCACGCTGGCGATAGTCTTCGACCTGTCGTTTGATGAATTCCCGGTCGGCTGGGGAGCATCGATAGGGCCGCGACGCCACGGGGATCTCGTCGCGTAGCTCGATGGAATGCTCCGCGTGTGGGCAGGTGCCCAGTTGTTCCTCCACCGTCGTAAACGCAGCGTGGTGTTTTGTGAGTATCCCAAAAAGTCTTTCGCGTTCTTCCGGCGAGGCGTCTTCGGTAATGCTGTGCACAGCCGTGTGGATTCGTTGCATTAGGGCTGCTTCGATGTCATTCTGTGCTGGCTCGAACTTCACGAACATGGCCAGGCGTTCAGCTTGGGGCAGTTTCTCGTGAAAGTTGGACACCAGAGCTTCTCCGGAGATTGTCGTCTTTGGAATCTCGGCGGGCGAATCGTAACGTTTAGGTAGTTCAACGATGGTTATGTCGTTCGAAACGTGAAACGTGACTTCCACGTTAGCGAGTTGACGCCAATCTGATCCGAGAAGTAGGTCAATTGACTTGGGGAGTGGAAGAATGAGTATTTCCGGTACCTTGACCGTCGTTGATCCAACGCTGATCGTCAGAGACGTGCACTTGTCAGGCGTAAGCTTGTTGTCCAAAACGTTGACAAATTCCTCTGCCCGGGACCACGTCGATACGCAAGCGTCCTGAGGTAGTGCCCTGGGATCGATGATCGATACGTTGGCTCCAGTGTCGATGCACGCCTTCAAAGGACGGTTATCTGTGAAGGCGGTGACGATGGGGAGAGAATCTCCTGTCGTGCGCAAGAAGCAGTGAACATTCTTCTCGTTTGGACCCGCGCCCTTTTGTGCGCGTTTCTCCTCTGCACGGATGGTCGCTGCAGTTTTCGGCTCTGGACAGTCCCTGGAGAAGTGACCGGGCTGGTCGCAATTAAAACAGTTGCTCTGCCTGCGTGCCTTGTTTGCGTGGTTGAGTCTTTTCTCTGGGACGGCGGTGGTCCAAAGTCGTCGCGCAGTCAATCAGCTCGAAGACCGATTTACAGCCTTGGGCTGCCAGGGGATTGGCCCACTTGTCCTCGGTGATTCCGTGCAGGATTAAAGAGATGCGTTCGCTGGCTCCTAGCTTACAGGGAGCTCGCTCGAGCATGGCATTCTTCGCGTAGATGTATTGCACAATGCTCTCGTTGTGGCGGAGCTGTCGGCGTTGTTGGTACTTCAAAAACTGTTGAAGTCCCATTTTTCGTTGGAAGCGTTCCTTGATGGCTTCCTTCCATACTTCCCAATCGTCGATCCGGGAACCGTATGACTTGTGCCAGTCTCGTGCGGCACCGTGAAGGCGGGTGACGGCGTTGAGCAGAGTGAGGTTTGGTGTCCAGTTTGCGAGGAGAGCTACTCGTTCGATTTCTCGAAGCCACTCAGCGACGTTTTCGTATGACTCCCCCTCGAACGTGGGAATCGCGTGCGAAGTGTCGCTCGTGGAGTGGACGTGGAGGGGCCTCGTGGACTGTCGTAGGGTCTCGGCCAGTTGTTGTTGCGTTTGGACGATGACCGACAGCAAATCAACCGTTGTTGCGTTGCCGCTCACCTGCGTTGTCGTGCCCAGCGCAGAAGCATCCGTCGTGGTTACTTCTCGTTCTGGTCCGTTTCGGTCCGTCACGTTGACGCCATTTTCTGGGTGTGGCGTTGAAAGTGCGTTGTTGAAGGCCAGGATTAGTTGCTGGAGTTGAATTTTGATATCTTGTATCTCTTGACGCATTGTGTCCTGATTGGTAGTTTCCGTTCCCTTGTTGGAGTCCGTGATCAGGGCGTGGTCACCGGTTTCGTTGGATTCTGCGTATCCTGTCGACTGCGCCATGTCAGGTTATCCGTTGGGTTTTCGGGAGTTCGTAGATGATCGTAAGTTTAAGGCGTAGACCGGGGTTGAATTAAAATTAACAAGACGTTTATTAACTGGGATTACAATCGGTTACACAAGGTTACATTATGTCGGAGGGAAGAGCGGTCGTCCCGTCCGTATCGTACGGCGTCCCGGAGTCGTCTCTGTTGCGAAGGGGCTTCTCCTCAGTGAGACGTAACCCGACGCCTTGCTCCTCTCGCCTCGGAATCCCGCCCGGGTCACGTAAACCGGGGGGCCCGATTCTGGGGGCTCCACGGAGGTGCAATGGGAAAGCCCGGGCTGGACGAAATTTTTGGTCGACTGTCTGGGTCTCTGTCTGGCAGGCAAGGTGGCTCTCCGCGCGGAAGGCGCTTGACGCTGACACTTGCTAGGTGGAGCGAGCGCGGCGCGTCCCTTTTAGCTGTCACACGCTTCCATATTGTTTTATTCTGCTATATTTGGGACTCATTGATCGAACTCCAGCACGTCTCCTCTTTCACATACCTGCAGTGAGCTCGGCTGGACTTGTTGAAGGTAACGGAACAAGTTCTATTTGGATTGACAAAAAAATACTTTTAGGTTTACGTTTTGCATTAGAAAATAAACTAATACGCCTGCAATAAAATCCTGCCACATAGGCACATGTGTACGGGCGGTAAAGCCTTTTAGGTGGCTGGTACTTAAACGTACAAAATAAATATTTATCTATCTAAATTTACGTACATTGCGGTTCACCGCTAGTGCCGCACACGCCATTGGGGCTTTTTCGCACCTTCTCCTAAAGTTTATAGGTGAGAGTCAAATTTTATCGCGTAGGTTAGTGCCTTAAATTAGTACTTCCACCCACACAAGTAATTTTTATAGCAACACTTTGATTCTTAAAAAAAGACAGAGGCATACGATCATTTGTTCGCGCGAACAGTGTAGCGCTATGCAAAACCGAAAACTCGGCTAAACCGTGCCCCCTTTCAAATTACACTGTAAAATTGTGGTTAGCTTTGATGAGATTCGATTCTACCAGCAGGGAAGCTTCAGATACATATCTATTTGTCAGACCCACAGAGGCGGCTATGTTCTCAATAGACCTGTTCCACTAACCTTCAATGGCCTCGCGCGAAGCGCGCCACGAATTATGGGAACGTCCTGTATGCTCCTCCTATCTACAACGCGACACTGAGGAGCGTCAGGCAGAGGAGAGTAGCGCGGGCGAGAATGCGGACCTCTCGTCAGCGTTCCCGCTGTCATCTGCTACAGTTAGTTTTACCTACAGACCCTGGAGTTGATTAGCTTTAATTGTTTTTTTTAATGGAATGTAACAGGATCCCCACAGTTGGTTGCGGCGCTTGCGGAGGTGACGCAGTACTGTTTACGTACTGTTAAACGTCATTCAACTCCAGGCGTTGACGCCTGGACTTCAGTAGCATTATTTTTGTTTTATGGCATGTGACAGGTATCGATAAACACGGATATACGTTTGACGTATTTCAGTTCATCACAGCACTATATTAAAAGCTAGTTAGATTGTTTCAAGGTGAATCGACCATGCTTCCTTCGAAACAGTATTTCATGACCAAATTCGTAGAATCAACGTCGTTAAAATGCATTTATATTTGCGCTAAATATGACTATACCACGCCAGATCAGCCATAAGTGAACTTTGATTTATCTTCAAAAGTTCCACCCTGGAAACTGCTTTTCTCACTGTACTTTTTGTACTCTTGTTTTCAGCCTTGTCAATGTAAGCGCGGAGGCCGTGAAAGCTGTGACATCCTATCGAAGGCCGCGCGGGCCTCTGCATTTCCGCTCGAAATCAAGAGCCTTTGCCATCGCCGATGGCGGATCACGAAATACGTTCTTCTGAATGGTCATCTCGTGGCCGATTCTCCTCGCGTCCAGACCGTCAATTGTAGCGCAATCAGGAGAGCTTTAAATTCATCGAAGAATAAATGCTTCAGTTCACGGCACTTCTGTTGCGTCTTGGCGATCGCCCTTTTTATGAAGTCATAAAACATTAAAGTACAAAAGTGTTTTTCTTTTTTCACAGCATAGCATCTTTAGAGGAATAACAGAACTTCACGGCAGGCAAATTGATCTATACTTTATTTAATTAAATTTTAATTTCGGAACATTCGGTCTGAAAGGACCACTAGCATTACTGTCAACGGCGAAGTCATGTTCCGCCTTTCACTCCAATTAAAAAAAAATGGTCTTAGAAATTTTGGCAACGAAGGTGCGATAGCACTTGATCGGGTTTTAACAAGCGGTACTTTTTATCAGCACGTAGTGGATGTATTCTCCCGCCAAATTTAGAGGTGAAATTGTTACGTGAGGTGACACTGGTGTAACGTGAAAATTTGAAGTCGCGTAAACTATGACATCATTAGTGACGCCCTATGACACCACAAGCTCACCTGACGCCATGATAATTTTCCCACTGACTCTAGCTGGGAAATTGATGTCGCTAGACCCGACGTCATGCCCTGCCAGGTTCACGTGACACCGTAATTTTACGTCACTTGACGACGTCATGTGGCGTCACCTCACGTGACCCCGTCATGCAACCTCGAAACACGTGACGTCAACTTCCTTTCCAAATGTAGCGGGGACCAATTGACGTCACGCGATCTCTCATGGTATCGCGAGACATCAGCGACTTGAAACTGTGGCGCCAATTTCCCCGCTAAATTTAGCGGGGAAACACGTGGAGGGTGTGATGTCATCCTGACCGTGTTGTCGCACTGCTGTGTCATCACTGACCTGTCACACTAACCGACCTGTGCACTTGCCCGCGTTCGCTCGTCTCTTATCGGATGTACGGCGCGTGGCAATATATACGGCGCATGAAATAAACCAAGGGGGTCGTTCTGCTCGGAACTACGCCGTTGTCTGCTCCTTCGTCGCTCCGCAAGGCGCACGACAGAGGGTTCACATATAAAGCACGCTTCAAGACGTAATGGAAGAAGCCATATCATCTGGCTTCTTCCACCTCGGACTGCGACCTTCGGACAAATCATTACATATTTGACGCACAGGACAGCGGCTGGAGACTCGGAACATGCACAGGCCTTGTATTGCGTGACCTGCCTGTGTGCCGTTCAGGTCGTACCCCGCAGAACGGAGGTCTTGGCAGAAGCCCCAGGACCGGCGGGACTCGTATCCGCTCCCAGTCAGTGGGTCGCTGCTGTTGCTCCTGAAAGCAGAGCAACGAGAAATTATGAATAGATGATGAATGAAAGACGTGTCTCCAAGGTTATTTTTCTTTTTTTATTTCTAGGCTTTACAGATTTGTTAGGAAAAAAAAAAAAAAAAGAGCCGCGAAAACTACACAAATGCAGTCTGTGCAAGTGAGGTCTACGAGCAAGAGGACGTAATTTAAAGGGCAACTCCACTCCATTTTTACAATCTTTGGGTTATAATCTGTTTAGTCGAAGCCGGCGGCCCTGAATTACGAGATATAATTTGTTTTTTGGTAGTGTGTATCGTTTTGAAGATATCGCGAATTCAAGTATCGTTCCGGCGGCACGGCGAAGCCGAAACTACCGGTTAAAGCAGCTTGGCAACACTGATACTAGTGGCGCGTCATCTTTAAGAGAGAATTAGAGAAGCATCGAATTAAACAAAGAGGAAAGCAAAACCAAAGACACAAACCAAAAAGCTGGTGGGATAAGGAGGTCAAAGCAGCCATATTGCAGCGCCAAGAGGCATCTAGGGAGCATAGATGGGCAAAAAAAAGGGGAGCTCTGCCAGCTGAGGTAACATCAAAATGGGAGAGATTCCAAGAGCGGAAAAGGGAGGCATCAGCTTTAATACAGGCCAAAATTGGGAGGGCAGGAGTGCAGTGGATGATGGAAATAAATAAAAAAGATAAGAATGCGGCAAAAAGGTTTTGGGAGCACATTAAAGCACAAGGGAGAAAAACAGGATTTCCAACACTCGCTGACCACACAGGAGGGGAGAAGAGTACAGGGGGAAGAGGCACGGGAATATATTAGACAGACAATCGAAAAGGCTTTCTCCCAGCTTGAGCAGAGGGGGACGGTGGATAGCACTGTCAGCAGCACTGTAGAGGAGGAGCAGAATTGTATAACAATGGAGACAAACACAAGAGAATGGGATAAGGCAGAAAGTAAGGTTCCAGCAGGTACAGCAACAGGCCCCGACAACATACCCATGGAACTCGTAAAGACACTAGGAAAAACAAGCAAATTGAAGTTACGGCAGGTGATTAATCAAGCAATTAGGAGAGGAGAAGTACCCAATGATTGGAAACTAAGTAGAATGAGACTAATATATAAAGGCAAAGGAAACAAAGACAGCATTAAGTCATATCGCCCGATAACGGTAACCTCAGTTCTTTACAGATTAGCTATGCAGATTGTAAAGCAGAAAATGCAGGAATGGGCAGAAGATACGCAAATACTGGGTGAGCTTCAAAATGGATTCCGAAGAGATAGAATACTGGAAGATAACTTATTCGTCACCACTCAATGTATAGAAATAGCAATCAAGAACCAAACTCCGTTGTGGTTAGCTTATTTGGACATCAAGGGAGCATACGATAATGTGAGCCAGGAAATACTTTGGGGTCGGCTGAAAGAGTATAATTTGGATGCAAATTTGGTTAGGTTTCTGCAGCAGGTGTACACAGACAATAAGGTAGTTATAACATGGGAAGCAGAAATTACACAACCCGCAGAAATAAAAAGAGGGCTCCGGCAGGGTTGTCCACTGTCGCCTCTGCTCTTCATGATATATCTCCGGGAAATGGAAAAGAAATTAGAGCAGAGCGACTTAGGTTTTGATGTGAGTTATATGGAAGGAGGGAGAAAGGTAAGACAGGTAATACCAGGACTGATGTATGCGGACGACATATTACTTATGGCAGATAACCAGGATATGTTACAGGAACTAGCCGGCATATGTGGAGAGGAAGGAGACATCTTGGGCATAAGCTTTAGTAGCGACAAATCTGGAGTAATGGTGTTTAATGATGAAAAGAGGGGACCCCTGCGGATACAAGACATTTTAATAGACCATGTAGAAAAATACAAATATCTGGGAGTCTGGTTCAATGAGGGAAAGAAATATCTAAAAGAACATGAGGAGAATATAATTAGAAAAGGGAAAAGAAATTCATCTGTTATGAAGCTCAAGGCACTATGGAACTATAACAGGTATGAAGTGGTCAGGGGTATATGGAAAGGAGTGATGGTACCTGGACTGTCTTTTGGCAATGGGGTGCTCTGCATGAAATCAGAGGTTCAATCAGGATTAGAAATTCGGCAAAGAAGCGTAGGCAGATTGGCACTGGGAGCACATGGAAACACACCAAATGAGGGAGTGCAGGGGGACATGGGCTGGTCGTCTTTTGAGAGCAGGGAAGCAATCAGTAAGTTGAAATTTGAACAAAGGTTGACTGAAATGGATGATACGAGATGGGCACGTAAGGTGTACAAGTATTTATACATGAAGAGCATAAACACAAAATAGACAAACCGAACCCGAAAGCTTACATTTAAATACCTACTCACTAATGATGGGGCGAGCAGACTACTTCAGTGAAAAAGGGAGTGAAAGAGGCAGAGAGGAAAATGTGGGAGGGAAGAATGCAGGAAAAATCGACTCTAACAGTTTACAGGTCACAAAAACAGGACATACGAAAGGAAAATGTGTTTGACAACTCGCTGGGAAGTTCTTTACTTTTCGAGGCGAGAACGGGAGTTTTGAGGACGAGGACATATAGGGCTAAATTTCAGGAGATAGACACATTATGCGCTGCATGCCATGATGAGAGTGAGACACTTGAGCACCTAGTTTTAAGGTGCACGAGGCTTCGTCCTGCCCCTCCTGAGGGTGTAACGGGTTTGGCCGGGGCCCTGGGCTTTGCTGGCGACGATGGAAGGACGGAGGAGAAGAGGAGCCCAATAACAAAGAGGCGGTTAGAAGATTGGTGCAAATTATCTAGGGAAAATTGAATGATGCACAACTAACTAGCACAGCTGGGGACAGGCGGGACAGAGGAAAATTGGGACTCCCTCGCCGGGGGGAAGAAGCGGGGGGTGATGTTTTTAGTTTTTTTGCCCGATCCCCCAAAGGTCAGCCTGGCGATATCCCGCACTACCTGGTGATAGTTAGGGGGGGGGGGGGAGAGAAAATTGGCTTAGAAGGGCGGGGGAATCAAATGTTTGTCTTTATTAGACATAGGCTAGGTGGCGCAAGCTACCGCCCGATACAAAGGGTATAGCCAGTAGCATCCATCCATCCATCGTCGGCATGACCTAGTTCTCGTCCCGTGCTTCTGAGCCTACGCGCCGACAAGGTCTGCTCAATCGCACGTGGAGTTTCAAAACAGAAGATTAGATGCACATTTTCTTTCTTTGCCGCTTCACTTTGTTAATATGCACCAAATGTAGTAAGTTTTAGTGTGTATTTATAAATTTGCCGGCCGAAAAGCGAATCCGACTGCTATAAATATGACGAGGTCGGTGCCGGCGCAGCGTGACTGTATTTGTTTTTAGAGCGCAGCTCTTAGGGGCCCGTTTCCGGCTTGAGCGGCGTCGGCGTCGCCGTCGACGTTGGCGTCGCCGTCGGCGTCGGCGTAACCGCGAGGTCACGTGACCCCCCGAGGTCACGTGACCCACCCAGGTCACGTGACCCCCCAAGGCCACGTGACCCCCTGAAGTCACGTGACCTCCAGAAGTTACATGACCGCAGAAGTCACGTGACCCCCTGAGGTCACGTGACCTCCAGAAGTCACGTGACCCCCTGAGGTCACGTGACCCCCAGAAGTCACGTGACCCCAGGCTGAGGTCACGTGACCCCCTTGAGGTCACGTGACCCCCCCGAGGTCACGTGACCCCCAGAAGTCACGTGACCCCAGGCTGAGGTCACGTGACCCCCTGAGGTCACGTGACCCCCAGAAGTCACGTGACCCCCTGAGGTCACGTGACCTCAAGGAGTCACCTATCCCTCAGTACGCTTCCATCTTCCTCCTCAAAAGCTGCGCTCTAACCGGCGTTACAGGGAATTGTAAACGGCTTTCATTTTTTGCTCGTGGACCGAGAGAAAACGAAATAATGGGAGATAGATGAACAAATCTATCCACAAGTGGTCTAAGTTGCTAAGCTAAGGTGCCTTTATGTGCACGCTAGTTAGATCAGCCGCGACCTGCTGCGTCCGGCCGATCGTGCTGGAGCAGCCGGCGGACGGTACGCGAACAGCGATGGCACTGCATCGTTCTTCAAAGACGGCTGTTTCGTGGAGAAACTTGCAACAGTCAGCAGCCGCAGATCCCGTGTGTAGGTGTCTGACGTAAAGTGCTGGGAGCAGAGCTTCGCGTTGGAGCTTGGAGTCAACGGTCTTCCGAAGTCTATCCGGCGAACGGCACCGACCCACACCTTGTGCCTCTTCCGGTCTCTTGAGAACTAGTGGAACCGTAGCTCCGGGTTGCGTACCGGGTTGTTGGTGCAACCCAGAGCACTACAAATCCTGCTCGACATTGCCCAACGCGAGTCCGACAAGTCTATCCGGCTCCACGACGCGCGCGTGAGCGAGCGGCACCGCTTCGCTCTCTTCCGCGCTGCGCGGAAGCAATGCTGGAGTTAAAGGAACTGTGTTGTAATTGAGTTTATGAATCGCCACCAGGGTGCCCCTTTTCCTTTAATCGCCCTTGTGCGCGTGAATAAAGAAGAAGTGTAGCAGCGTTCGTCGGGGCTGGTCGTGTCCTTTGGGTCCGGGATCTCCGAGCGCCGAATAAGGCCATCGTTGTCGACTCTTTTCCGCTCCCACACATTGACGAGCTGTTGAACTCCTTAAGTGGAGCATCCCATTTTTCCAAGTTGGATCTCGCATCAGCATACTATCAGGTCCGGCTTGATCCTAAAAGCCGTGACCTTACAGCGTTCATCACTCATGAAGGCCTCTTTCGTTTCACAGGAGTTTGTTTTGGCCTGGCTTCCGCGCCTGCAGCGTTCCAGAAGATCATGTCTAATATCCTTAAAAACTGCAAGGGCGTACAGTTTTACTTGGACGACGTCATTGTGTACGGTTCGTCTCAGCAAGAACACGATGAAAATCTGCATACTGTGCTCCAGAAAATTTCCCAAGCTGGGATGAAACTCAATAAGAAGGCCGTTTTTAGTGTCCAAGAGCTAACTTTTCTCGGACATCGTCTGTCGGCGGGAAGCTTAG